GTTTGATCAGTTAATATTCAATCTCCTTCACACATAACCGTGTTAAGTTTGATCAGTTAACATTTAATCTCCTTCACACATAACAGTGTTAAGTTTGATCAGCTAACATTCAACCTCCTTCACACATAACAGTGTTAAGTTTGATCAGCTAACATTCAACCTCCTTCACACAGTACAGTGTTAAGTTTGATCGGCTAACATTCAACCTCCTTCACACATAACAATGTTAAGTAGATCAGCTAACATTCAACCTCCTTCACACATAACAGTGTTAAGTTTGATCAGCTAACATTCAACCTCCTTCACACATAACAATGTTAAGTTTGATCATTAGAGTTTTGAATAAAAACAAGTTCATTAATAAAATTGTTAACATTATTTATATTTTATCAATATGTAACATTATTGGTAGGGAGTGATAGCACTGTAGCTCTCTCCTCCTTGAACCAATTTTTGGTCTAAGAAATTCAGTTTTCTCAGTCTGAGATGGGTGTGCTCTCTCAGGCTGTGGATGAGCAAAGTTGATTTTTTTTGGATGCTTTTCTCCCCGTATTGATTTGTCCATCCACTTATTGTTTTTTCCAGTTCGTTCTCAACAATCTGATTTTCCAGTTCCAGGCCTCCCATCATGTTAGCTATGGTCCAACACACTTTCAATTGGGTCATAAGAGCATTCACACAGAGGATGTATTCGGTGGGTTTCCATTTTCACTTCTGTAGGATGACTGGCTCATTCTTGGTTCTTCCAAAGAAGTATCTATGCCTGTAACCTTTGGGAAGCATCTTATTTGGGGTTAGCTGGGCAAGTTCTCTAAGTCCATCTTGACCCTCACTCAGCATCTGATTCACTTGGCAGTCATTTTCAATTCATTTGTATTGTGAGTTTAGCTGTCTCCTCTACATCTTGGGAGTCGTTTTCAATTCATTTTTATGCTGAGTTTAGCCGTCTCCTCTACATCTTCGTGACATGAAGATTTTGATTACCATAGCTCTCATGTCTCCTCTTTCTGTGCAAGAGATTCTATCTCTTTTGGGAACTGTGGCTTATAAATAAACTTTAAGTTTCAGAGCTTTAAAGTATTTAAAGTCAGTTCTAAAAATGATGTAGTCAACTTCTAAATAAACCTTAAGTTTCAGAGCTTTAAAGGATTTAAAGTCAGTTCTAAAGATGTATGTTGTCAACTTCTAAATAAACCTTAAGTTTCCAAGCATTTAAAGGTTTTGAAGATAGTTCTAAAGTTATATATAATTGTTTGAATTTTCTATATTAGGGATTTTAAAACTTTATTTTTGAAATAAGGATAGTTATAATGTTCCCGTATTTTTTTCACTGATTTACAAAATCTTTTACATCATATTGTCTGAGCCGTTACAAGATCTTTTACATCCTATTGTCTGAGCCGTTGCAAGATCTTTTACATCCTATTGTCTGAGCCGTTACAAGATCTTTTACATCCTATTGTCTGAGCCGTTGCAAGATCTTTTACATCCTATTGTCTGAGCCGTTGCAAGATCTTTTACATCCTATTGTCTGAGCCGTTACAAGATCTTTTACATCCTATTGTCTGAGCCGTTAACTTAATGACAAAAAAATAAATAGATAATGTGTTGTTTGCGAAAGTGTGATTAAATTTACCAAACTTGGCCTTATCATTTCTTTTTTGATAGTTATGTTACAGGACCATGATTTGTTCTCACCCCTTGAATAACCTTTTCAGTGTAACTGGCCACAAGTAGCAAATATTAATTTCACTTTTGAAAAATGTTTAAAAAACATTTGTGACATCTAGTTTAGTAGTACTGTTTAATATCTGACTGATTGTTCTAAATGCAGGGTCCACTGATGGAATAATCCACGTGTGGTGTGCTAAAACAGGAGTTAAAACAGCAGTTCTCAGTTGTGACCACACGGGACCCGTACAGTGCGTACAGTTTAACCCTAAGTACATGTTGTTAGCCTCGGCCTGTACCAATATGGTAAGGAAGGAAATTAATTGTGGTTTCTTTCGCTCTGAAATGGCCTGCTGATTAGGGTGCCATCAGTGGGATCGAAAATCGTTACTGCTCAAACTTTCAACCGTGGGAGCGTTATAACTTGATTGTCAATCCCACTATTTGTTGGCAAAGAGTAGCCCAAGAGTTGGCAGTTTTGTAGAGATAGAAAGAATGATCAAATACAACAAGTAATCCTCTTCATATGAGGATCAAATTCAAAAATTGATTAATTACTGAAGTCTTTTTTTTTTTTATAAACGAAAATTAAACCAGATTTTGTGAAATAGGTCTAAAAACAGTGCTTTTATTAACTCCCATTTCAATGCTGTTTCATGAGTTGAAACTTTTAATGTTAGTTTTCCAGTTTTTTTATGTCAGTTTCCAGTTTAATATTAGTTTTTCAGTTGCTTAATGTTAGTTTCCAGTTTTAATGTTAGTTTTCCAGTTTTTAATGTTCGTTTCCAGTTTTTTAATGTCAGTTCCAATTGTTTAATATTAGTTTCAGTTTTTTAATGTTAGTTTCCAGTTTTTTATGTCAGTTTCCAGTTGTTTAATGTTAGTTTCAGTTTTTAATGTTAGTTTTCAGCTTTTTAATGTTAGTTCCAGTTTTTAATATTAGTTTATCAGTTGCTTAATGTTAGTTTTTCAGTTGCTTAATGTTAGTTTTCCAGTTGTTTAATGTTAGTTTTCCAGTTGTTTAATGTTGTTAGTTTTACAGTTGTTTAATGTTAGTTTTCCAGTTGTTTAATGTTGTTAGTTTTACAGTTGTTTAATGTTAGTTTACAGTTGTTTAATGTTAGTTGTACAGTTGTTTAGTGTTAGTTCCAGTTTTTAACATTAGTTTTACAGTTGTTTAATGTTAGTTCCAGTTTTTAATATTAGTTTTTCAGTTTTTTAATGTTAGTTTTCCAGTTGTTTAATGTTAGTTCCAGTTTTTAATATTAGTTTTTCAGTTTTTAATGTTAGTTTTCCAGTTGTTTAATATTAGTTTTCAGTTGTTTAATGTTAGTTTCCAGTTGTTTAATGTTAGTTCCAGTTTTTAACATTAGTTTTACAGTTGTTTAATGTCTACTTTTACAGTTGTTTAATGTTAGTTTTACAGTTGTTTAATGTTAGTTCCAGTTTTTAATATTAGTTTTCAGTTTTTTAATGTTAGTTTTCCAGTTGTTTAATATTAGTTTTCAGTTTTTTAACATTAGTTTTACAGTTGTTTAATGCTAGTTTTCCAGTTATTTAATGTTAGTTCCAGTTTTTAATATTAGTTTTACAGTTGTTTAATGTTAGTTTCAGTTGTTTAATGTTAGTTTTCCAGTTGTTTAATGTTAGTTCCAGTTTTTAACATTAGTTTTACAGTTGTTTAATATTAGTTTTACAGTTGTTTAATGTTAGTTTTCAGTTGTTTAATGTTAGTTTTCCAGTTGTTTAATGTTAGTTCCAGTTTTTAACATTAGTTTTACAGTTGTTTAATGCTAGTTTTACAGTTGTTTAATGTTAGTTTTACAGTTGTTTAATATTAGTTTTACAGTTGTTTAATATTAGTTTTACAGTTTTTAAAAGTTATTATCTGCTACAGAACACAACTGAGTCAGTATTTTATCTTCCATATAGAACTAACAATAATAATTTTCAGAACTAAGATATCTAAACATTTTGTTTCTGTGAAGACTACTGGTGTCACTGATATGATTAGAAATTAAGATTTGTTAAATATCCACATTTATCACCAAACAAAACCTGCAACACAGAGAATTTATTGTGACTAGCTTAGTTGTGAGTAAAACAAAGCATCATATAAGAATTACAAGAAGTTATTTCTACGTGAACGTTTATCTTATTCTCTGTTTTCTTCCAGGCTTTCTGGCTGCCCAACATAGATGAAGAAATATGACAAATACTGAAGAATAATATTTTACGTTTTCAATTTTGTACATTGTAATATAAAACTCTATGAAAAGGAACTTTTTTGTATAGTACTATCTTTTAATACCCTTTGTGGCAGACCAAACAAACTCCGTTTTACTTCTGGGACTGAAGAAATTGTACCCTGGTCATGAATTCTCTCCAAGACTTGTTTTAAGGGTTTGACATTATTTTGACCAAGCTATTTTTCATGTTTTTATTTATAACACTTTTGTTATAGTGTGTACATTTTTTCAGTAAGTATTTAATGGATCAAAATAACTGATGTTGTAATTTTAACATCAACTTTTTTTATTAAATTAATAAAGATGCAGAGATACTAGGTGGAAGATGTTTTAGTAGTTGGTTCTTCAAGGTCATAAATGACTTATGGTACAGATCGTATATTTGATAGTCTCTGCCATCAGTATAGGGAAGAAGAATGTTAAATGTTTGTGATATTCTTTACACACGTGACATTAGAAGTACTTGTCATTTTAAAACTACGAGAAAGGGTTGTATTTCTGTTATCAGTACGTAACCGTATGGTGGTTAAATTAATTTATGTTTAGGACTTTCAGTTTATCCATTAGAAATGTTAAGAATTAGTTTTAAAATGTGTAGCATGGGGAGTCTTATGTTTTTATGAAGAGTTTCCTATGTTAGTTGAAAGATTCAGATTGAAGTAATTATAGCGAGTAATTCGTGTAAATCTCAGTTGATATTGGATAGAATGAAATGTTTTTAAAAGATGCGAGTCTCTCACGAAACAGAAAAAGGAATATCTGATGGACTTTGTAAAAAACCAAACAATAGTTTTTGTTATGTTCAAAAGGTTTTCCCCGCGATCATGTCATAATTTTTCTCTGCCATGCATCTGAAATCCCGAGTTTTTTAGCAGGTTTTACTTGTTCAGATGCTGTGTAGCACTGTTGTAGTAATTTGTAGTCATGCTTGTTTTGTGGTGTAATAATTCGTAGTCATGCTTATTTTGTGTTGTAGTAATTTGTAGTCATGCTTATTTTGTGTTGTAATAATTCGTAGTCATGCTTATTTTGTGTTGTAGTAATTTGTAGTCATGCTTATTTTGTGTTGTAATAATTCGTAGTCATGCTTATTTTGTGTTGTAATAATTCGTAGTCATGCTTATTTTGTGTTGTAATAATTCGTAGTCATGCTTATTTTGTGTTGTAATAATTCGTAGT